CCAGGGGGAGAGCCTTCTCTGTGGGGGCACCTACCCTCTGGAATCAGCTCCCCCCAGAGATAAGGAGAATCCAAGACCTCAGTGCCTTCCGTCGCGCCCTTAAAACCCATTTATTTAAACAAGCCGGGCTGGCTTAAGATGAAATTTTTAACTGTTTTTAAATGTTTTAAACGTTTTTAATTGGTAAATGAGTTTTAATTGGGCCAAATTTATATATCTTTTAATTGTTTTTAATATTTCTTCTGCATGTTTTTTAATCTGGCTGTACACCGCCCTGAGTCCTCAGGGAGAAGGGCGGTATAGAAATCCAATATAAAATAAAATAAAATAATAAAATAAAATAAAATAAAATAAAATAAAATAAAATAAAATAAAATAAAATAAAATAAAATAAAATAAAATAAAATAAATAAAATATACAGGTAATCCTTGACTTACAACCACAATTGAGCCCAAAATTTATGTTGCTAACCGAGACATTTGTTAAGTGAATTTATGACCTTTCTTTTTATGGTTGTTCAGTTAATCAGTGCACTTGTTAAGTTAGTAACACCATTGTTAAGTGAATCTGGTTCCCCCTTGACTTTGCTTGTCAGAAGGTCACAAAAGGTGATCCCAGGACCCAGGATATTGCCACCATCATAAATATGAATCAGTTCTAAAAGCGTCTGAGTTTTGATCATGCAACCATGGGGATGCTGCAATGGTTGTAAGGGTGAAAAATGGTCGCTTTTTTTCAGTGCTAATGTAACTTTGAATGTTCACTAAATGATCTGTTGTAAGTCGAGGACTATCTTTATTTGGCTATTTCTTGTAAAGGGCTTGGTTGTTTTGTGCCTGAACTGGATGATGTTTTCTTTCTACATCAATAGAGCACTTCAAGTATAAGTGTCACTCTGGGGTTACTCTGTGTCAATCTCGATTTCATTGAGGACTGCATCAGGGTTGTGTTTGACCCTCGGGAGGGTCATGACCAGAGGGGCGTGGCCAGCTCAATGTCACTCATTGAGGCTCCGTTTTCAGCTGTGATGGCCTCCATTAGCCCTCTGCCAGCAAAAACGGAGCTCAGGGAGACTTCACGCAGCCCGCCAAGGCTCCGTTTTCAGCTGTGACGGCCTCCAGCAGACCTCTGCCAGTGAAAAGGTAGCTCAGCAGGGCTGCGCATGGCATACCAGGCTCCGTTTTCGACTGCAATGGCCTTCTGCAGCCCATGCCAGCAAAAATGGAGCTTGGGGAGGTTGTGCGCGGCCTGCCCAGGCTCCATTTCAGCTGGTAGAGGCACTGTGGGCCGGTCCATTACTGTTTCCAGTGTGGGCCCACGGGCCAAATCTAAGCACCCTGTGGGCCAAATCTGACCCACGGCCGTGAGTTTGACACTCCTGGTGTAACTGAAGTAGTCCTATGCAGAAGCTTATTCTATGCCCAGTTACAGGACAGGAACCCAGGTTCCACTCTGTGCCTATTCCGTTGAACATCATCATATTGCTTTCAATTGTCTGATTATCTGACTGCGGAATTGTCTACACACAATTGTGGCAAATCCTGGATTTGCAACACTGGAAGAAAAATAATATTTTGCTGGCTGTTTTCTGTGTTCCACTGAACTGGAACTCCTTGTAAGCAAACTCTGTCTCTCTTTTTCTCTGTTCTGTTTATAACAAAGAATACATCACAATCTTTCATGGCAAAAGGAAAAAAAATGGGAAGAAATTTTTTTATTCTTAGGGAGTAAAAAAAATAGTGCATTTTTTTACAATGTAGAACTAAAGCTGAAAACATAATACTTCTGTTTTATGACAGAAGACTGAACTTGACACTGAGTGACAACTAGAAGTACAGCACCCTATAGAAATATCTTAAAATTTTAGCCACCGCTGTGTGACAAATATTTCTTCCCTGGAGAGAAGAAACATTAATTTTTGTCATCTATGAAAATAATATCTTGAACTGTCTTCAAACAGTGAAGAGCCAGTTTGGTGTAGTGGTTAAGGCACCAGGCCAGAAAGCGAGAGGTCATGAGTTCAGGTCCTGCCTTAGTCATGAAAGCCAGCCGGCCGGATGAACTTGGGCCCAGTCACTTTCTCTCAGCCCAATCCACCTCACAGGTTGTTGGAAATAGGAAAAGTGAGGTGTGTTGAATATGTTTGTCGCTTTGAGTATTTGTAAAAATAATAAAGGTAGGATATAAATAATTTTTTAAAAAATAACAGTAATAAAAATGTGTTAAGATTTCAGTGGTGATTATACTTTAAAGCACTTATATGATAACATGGCAGTGTTTGTGTCAATCAAGATGTGATAAGATACCACGGAAATAGCTTCATGAATTAACACATTTTACAACTTCATTAAAGGAGGATTTCTGATCTTTTGGAATAAGTGGAAGAATGACTAAAATGTTGGGTTTCATGAATTTCTTTGATTATTATTTTTCATAATATACTTATATCATTTATAATTATTATAAAACGTACAATTGTAGTACCATAATTCTATACATTCTTGGAAAGAAACTTGGTGATTTCTCATTTAGTTTTTTCCAAATAAAGTTCCGTAAGATCCCACCACATGGAAGGAAGGGAGGGTGGGAGGAATATGCCCAGAATAAAATAGATGAAAATAATCCAAATAGATGAAATAATCCAAACCACCAATTTTATTTGAAGTTAGCATTTTAATAAATAGCATAGCAACATAGCAATGAAGACTAGGATAGTATAAATATATAGCATGAATAGCTGGATAAATAAATAGCATAAACAATATAAATAAATGAATAATAAATAAATATTGGCCAGCAATGTATACATTGTTTTGTTATAATGACAAATAAATAAATAAATAAATAAATACATAAATACATAAATAAATAAATAAATAAATAATACTGTAATTCGCTAATGGAATTAATATTTTAAAAAGGAATAAAGATATTTTGTAAAATAGTTTCATCAGTACTATTTCTAGGACACTTGAACATCTGCACTCAGTAGTTATACTGGGTTTCATTGATTCTATTGGAGTGTTTTCCAACTAATTTTATCTTTAGAAGAAACATCTTTCCACATAATTTGTCTGCAAAGAAAGCAAAGTTAGCAATACTGGCTTCTTATCTCTCCCGAAGTTGCTTCTCTTTATGGGCTTTGTGGTTCTAGTGGTTTCGTAGAGTCAAATGAACCACAGAACTTTCAGTAGCAATTGAATCCCTTTTTGCAGGTGCATTGCGACATCTTTAGCTGTGTTTCAATACAAAATATAGTGGAAACTACTTCCGTCTGGTTGGTGTGATTTCCCTGGGTTTCACCTGTGGTAAATTTTCCAGTACGAGTCCTGTCATGTCAACTGTCTCTGTTAGTTAACCTCATTGAATCATTAAATCCAGTTAGACATAATTTAAATTCTACCGGTTTCATTTGATATTAGGATGATGTATTTTTACCCTGTATATAGTGCCATAGAAACGTCTATTAAGTTTAGGTGGAATTGGTTGAACAAAAGAACATAATTTCATCTTTTCGCGTAGAATTCTTTGATAAGGTTCATATTGGAATCTGTGGAAGCAATTCAGTGAAGCTTGTCAATTTTTGCAGAAAACCCTTTCAGTTTGTTTCGGGAGGACTTTTTCTATGGATTTTCATCTTTTTGGTCCTTTTCTTTTGAATAAGGCTCCATTGTTTTATTTAGCTTTTAAGTTCGTAACTTGGAGAAGCAATGCAGTCAAAGAGAAAGTAGAAACAGGAAACGTCAGAGGTTTTCTAGGAATAAGTGAAAGGCACTGAGGGAAAGCTGAATGGTTTCATATTGCTGCTTTTTATATTGCATCATAGGGAGGGAGTCAAGCTAGGAGGAAAAGGAAACACAGTTAGAAATCCCTATTCATGTTAACAATTATTTAAACTATTAAGCATTTTAATTGAAATTAATAAACATAGTTGTATCCTTGCTTCATATAAAAGTGTACTATACTTTTCCACCTAGCCTAATTTAAACCAAGGAATTCCTAAAATGTTGGATTCATGAAAACTGTATGTCGTTTCTTATTAGAGCTATACAAATCATTCAATGGCGTTGAGGTAATCACGGCAGGCCTTGAGATGACGGCTTCTACTTTACCATTTGAGAATTGGATCCAGAGAGGCATTTCACTCATGAACAAACTGTGTCATGCAATTATTTGCATAGCCCTATTATTATTCTCCATATTATGGAGTTGGGCCATCATGACTTTTAAAAAAAAGTTGCTTCTTCATAGTTGCTTGTATTAGGGATCTAAAGGTATCTTGAAGGACAATTCAGAGGTGAAACAGAAAATTCCTAGCATAATGCCGAATGGCGGCCCCCAGGGGGAGAGCCTTCTCTGTGGGGGCACCTACTATCTGGGTCGAGCTCCCCCCAGAGATACGGAGGATCCCGGATCTGCGCACCTTCCGCCGCGCTTTAAAGACCTTACTATTTCACCAGGTGGGCCTGGCCTAATTTTCTCCCTCTTTTATTAAAGATTTTTAATTTTTAAATATCTTTTAGTATTTTATACATTCAATTTTAAAATTGGTTTTAAAAAGTTTGGAGTTTTAAATTTGTCGGGGCCAAAATTATTTAATTTGATTTTATTCTACTTTTAAATTTTGTATGTATGTGTTTTATTGTTTGGCTGTGCACCGCTCTGAGTCCTTCGGGAGTAGGGCGGTAGAGTAATAAAATAAAATAAAATAAATAAATAAAATAAAATAAATAATGTGTTCAGTGGGAATTGCTATAGTTAAGAATGTGGACAAAAGTGTAGCAATTATTACCATATAAGAGTAGAGAAAAACCTCAATGTAGATTTTTAACAATGATATTGTTAATGATATTGACAATAACATCAAACGTAATAGTCAGGTAATTCATACATTGTTTCTCAAAAATTATCAATTTGGGCGGGGCAAGACAGAATTTTGACGTACATATCAGAAGAAGTAACTGTAAGTTTTCCTAATTTCCCCATTTCCCTTTCAATTCTAATCAAAAATAATGTTTAAGAAATACTTGATACCTTGAATTGGAATCCTTTGGATAAGTTGATGAATCAATAGGAAACATTCTCTGAGTTGGATCTGGATAATCTCCCAGGCACAGGAGCTGTATTTCTTATCTTTCAGGAAATCATTCAGCCCTTGAAAATACCTCTTCACTCTTAATCTGGTGAGCTGCAGTTTCTGATCCCTTGGACTCGATACGGTGCCAGCTCCTAACTCTGCATCTTGGCATGCTTCCAGTTCCTTAATCTGCTGATCCAATCCAGCATGGAAATTTCTTAGAGAATTCTCATCCCAAAACAATTCAGCATGAATTTGCTTGAAGATGAGGTCTGTCTGTTGGAGCATTTCTTGTATGGCTATTTTGGCATCCACTTCCTGGGATGCTTCATTCATGTTCCTGAAATTGTCTTCATTGAGAGGTGAGAAGCCTACAATATCTCCAATACATTGGAAGGGAATGGTGGCCCTCATATGACTTCCCAAGAGTTCCATGTTTCCTTTGTTGGCTTCTTGTAGTCTGCTGTGAAGTTGATTGCAGTGCTGAGATGAAACTTTGGTGAAGAACATCGCTAGACAGACTTGCAGAAACCAAAATTGTGTCTTCATAATGAAGATGAAGGAATGTGACCTCTTTTAAAAAGTTGAACCTGGAAGATTGGTTCTTCTGAAAGATGCTCCTGAGTCTGCTTCATCTTTGTATTTATACCACTAGGATATTGAAATTTCTTTTTTCTGTTTCTCTACCGATTCTCCGTATTCTGATTTTCACTTTCTTCTTTCTTATGCATTCCCCCAAACTATTCTGAAAGGTGGTCATATTTGGAAAACGGAATGTTGAATGTGTACATTTACCCCCAAAATTAGATTAAATCAAAACTGTTAACTGAAAATTAACAATTTGGTGAAACTTTGTTCCATCTTTCCTAATTATTTTAAAAATGAATTTAAAGTAGGGGTTTTTTGTGTGTGTTATAGTAGATATTATAGCTTCAGTACTTACTTGTTCCATGTAAAATAATTTCTTATAGTCTAAGGATTCTCCCAGTGTTAAATCTTGTAGGATTTTTTTACCCACCTGATTTACTCACCCTCTCTGGCACTCACTCAAGAGCTTTCTTTGACATCAACGCACAGTGAAAAGCCAAATGGGCTGCTGAACGCCCAGATACAGGCAGTTACATAGATGACCCTACACAAAAGGTGCCAGGTTTTGACCTTCCTTGCCAGCACTGGTCAACTCTAATCAGCACCCGTACCCAACAGGGTGTCTGCCAGGACGCATTGTTTAAGTGGGGTCTTGTCTCTACCCCTCAGTGTGACTGTGGTGCTCCTCGACAAAATATCCACCACGTTGTGTCTGAACGTCCATCAAGAGCTTACAGTGTCTGATTTTTTCAACATATACCACCCTGTCCTTGAATGGCTGAGTAGACTTGGCATTAACATTTGAACTACTATAAGTCCATTATTTGCCATATGCTAAATAAAATAAACTCATCTGATTGCACAAAGCAGATCATATTGTCAGCATTCCAGATGGTCTCGGTGAGACCAGCTTCAGGGTTGACACATATATAGATAACATTCCAAAAATAGTATAATAAATTATGAATAACAGTACAGCTAGTCCTCAACTTACAACCATAATGGAGCCAGACAATTATGGTCATAAGTTGTGAAGAGAGCGTTGGAAGAATAACAGAAACAAAATTCATTTTAAAAATGAATTTTAAACGGGTTTTTTTCCTGTGTTGTAATAGATATTATGGCTTTAGTATTTACTTATTCCCTATAAAATAATTTCTAATAGTCTAGAATTCGCCAGTGATAAATCTTGTAGGATTTTTTTACTTACCTGATTGCACAAAGGAGATCATATATCGATTATACTTTAAAAAGACTATAAACAATTATGAATAACAATACATACAATAGTCCTCATCTTACAACCGTAATGGAGCCAGACAATTATGGCCATAAGTCGTGTTCAGAGTGTTGGAAGAATTTCTTTGAGAGTGCAAGCAATCAAAACACAAAGTGAGCTGCTAGAACAGAGGTCTCTCTTTATATTTCCAAAAGCAATATAAAGTCGCTTTGGGGGCAGCTGGCAGTTTGACTGACACATCAGCAGAATTTGAGGCCTCTGTGAAGCAAATATGAGCATTATGTATAATTATATGACCAGAGGAACTCAGAAGAAATATTTTGCTTGTTATCTCCTTTATCAGAAAATATCTTCCTGGTTAAGCATATGGTTTTGGTCATTGACTTTTATGGGTGTAAGAAGCATGGGCATAGGTAAATGTGGATTGGCTGCAGCGATAAATTCCTGCTTTCTGTGCTTTTTATACTGCCACGTACTAGAGCTTCAAAGTATATTGTCTTCGGTTTAATCTAACGTTGCGTGAGACAACATATTTCCGCTATTGTGAATTAGTGGTTAAAGGTTTGCTTTCTGTAGTCTATCTCCATCTGCCAGTGATCTTAGCACTTTGAGCAATCTTCAGTACTTCGAGTTTATTACTTTTCTGGCTTTTGGAAGTGATCAGATATAAATTATATCTCAGGGGTGAAATGCTCCCGGTTCAGACCGGATCGCCCGATCTGGTAGCGATTGAGGCGGGTGGTTCAGAGAACTGGTAGCGATTGTGGCACAAGGCTCCACCTACCCGCCTGGTTGTCGTTACTTTCTGGTTTACATTACAGGAAGTAATGTATTTTGTACCCTCTGCACATGCGCAGAAAGTTTGGGGGGGTTTTTTTGCTTTTAAAAGTAAAAAAAAAAGGCTCTGATGATCACAACTGAGCTGCGCGATCAGTGAACAGGTTGTAAAAAAATGCTTTTAAAAGGTAAAAGAAAGACTTTGACGATCACAGCTTGCCACCGTTTTGTGATAAATGTTATTTTGTTTGATATTATGTTCTGTTGAACTGGGAACAATAAAAACTGGGGGAATCCTAAATCACTTCAGTGAATTGTGGTTTTATCTGCTTTAACTTCACCGAGTCAAAATCCTATTTGTGCCTTACAAGCATAAGAATTGTCCAAAATTGATTTGCATTAACATTTTTATATTTAGTTTGGTTGAAAGAAGGAACAATAAAAAGCAGGCAGTTGTATTTTGGAGATATATATTATATCTCCAGCTTAATTGGTTAAGGAAACTTTTTACTTTATGAATGGAGGTAAGCTTTCTCCATCTTAATAAGCGGTACTGGCAGATGGCATAAGTGGTTTAAAGGAAAATAAATTAATGGGCGTGTTACAACTAGTGGTGAAATCCATTTTTTTTTACTACTGGTTCTGTGGGCGTGGCTTGGTGGGCATGGCGTGGCTTGGTGGGCGTGGCTTGGTGGGGGTGGTAGGGGAAGGATACTGAAAAATCTCCATTCCCATCCCACTCCAGGGGAAGGATACTGCTAAATCCCCATTCCCTCCCCACTCCTGGGGGAAGGATATTGCAAAATCTCCATTCCCACCCCACTCTGGGACCAGCCAGAGGTGGTATTTGAACTACACAAAATTTCCACTACCAGTTCTCCAGAACTGGTCAGAACCTGCTGGATTTCACCCCTGGGTACAACATCTAGAGTTGACAACCAATGTGCTCCAGATTCAGAGAAGCTTCAAAATCACAGCCATCCAGTCTCGCTAGGGTTGAGTTGGACCTTTTCCTTCCCATCCACACATCAGATGCACAATATATAAATAGTTATGCTTCACATTCTGTCACAAATATAATACACAAATCACAGTAACAGTCTCACATTTTGTTCCAAGGGCAACCAAACAAATCACATTTCGCCTGAAAGTTTATTTTATAGAATTTATTATTGTGCACACAGAAAAGGAAACGAAACATTAAAATACAGAATATTGGGGATCAAAAAGTTTGTTCACAAGGAGAGCTAAATAAACCCTGGTGACATTAGACATTTTGATACCAATAATATTGTGCATCTCTCTCTCTCACACACTCCCTCCCTCCCTCCCTCCCTCCTTCTCCCCCTCCCTCCCTTCCTCTCCCCCTCCCTTCTTCCCCCCCTCTCTCTCCAGCAGGTTGAGTCCAAGAATCAACTCCACCAGAAGGCTAAGACTACTTATATTGAGACTAATTATAGTAATAGAATTTTGCAATTCAGAAAGTTGAGAAGTCCTATGTATCAACCTTGGAAGACATGGTTAATCTCTTCTCTAATTACAGAATCATTTCCCACAGAAATTTTTTATGTCCTTTATTAATCAAACAAGGACACAAAAGCTCAATGAAGATGGCTGAATTTAGTGCTGTAGCAATAGTCGTCTCAGAAAAGGTCAGATATGAACATAATATTTACAAAATACAGATAGCAGAGTTGGAAAGGACCTTGGTAAGGAGACCTTACACCATTTCAGACAAATAATTATCCAGTCTTTTCTTAAAAACGTCCACTGTTGTAGCACTCACAGCTTCTGAAGGCAGCTGACTAACTGTTCTCACTGTTGTATGATATTGTATTGTAGCTGACATATTGTATAGCACATTACAACAATTCAACTGGGAAGTCTGAATTAGTGTGAGTAGGTAAATTTATTTGGCCGCGTAGTGCACAACACAAACCTATATAAAAACCCTTCTCGCCAAAATTGCCACTTTCTTTGAGAAGGAGACATTAATCCAGAAGGACCTCTCAGTTGCACTAGCTCTCTTTGGGAGAGTGTTGCCCCATTTATAGATGAAGATAGAAATGTTATGTGGGGCCCTCAAGGCTTAGCAGAGTTCAGCTAAAATCTTTCTTCCCCATCCAGATCCCCAGGCTCCAGACACTGGAATAGAAACTTGAACCAAAGTCCAAGTTTGGTAATGCTTGGGTGTCATCATCATATGAAGTGTTAGTATGACTTTATAATGCCTTGGTAAGAACACACTTGGAATATTGAGTCAAGTTTTGGTCACCATGATATAAAAAAGATGTTGAGTCTCTAGAAAGATTATAGAGAAGAGGAACAAAGATAACCAGGAGTCTAGAGGTCAAAACATATGAAGAATGATTGCAGGAAGTGGGTATGTCTAGTTTAATGAAAAGAAAGACTAGGGGTGACGTGATATCAGTGTTTCAATATCTAAGGGGCTGCCACAAAGAAGAGGGGGAGTCAAAGCACTTGACGGAAAGACAAAAAGTAATGAGCAGAGAAATTTCTTGACAGAGCAATTAATCAGTGGAACAACTTACCTCTAGAAGTTGTGGGTGCTCGAACAGTGGAGGTTTTTAAGAAGAGATTGGACATTTGTCTGAAATGGAATAGGGTTTCCTGCCTGAGCAAGGGGTCGGAGTAGAAGATCGCCAAGATCCCTTTCATGTCTGTTATTCTGTTATATATTGGTCTGATTGGCACTCTTTCTCTGTTTTTGAATTAAATGCAGTGGTGGTATTCAGCCAGTTCTCACTGGTTCACCTGAACTGGTAGCTACATTTTTCTGCAGTTTGACGAACCGGCTGATCCCACCACTATCTGGCCCCACACTGCCCCTCCCAGCTACTCCACGCCTGGCCTGAGAAGGTAAGCTTGCCTCAGGGAGGCCAGC